ACAACGAATGCACATACACAGTAGACGCAAAAAACAACAACACACACAACAAGAAAACAACAACAGGAAACACAGCAGACCCAGCAAAAGCAACAACTAAACAAACAACAAATAACAAACACGTATACCAACAGCAGTGCAGTCACGATAAAGGTCGCGTTGATCCTCATCGCGGCGTTCCGTCATGACTCCGATCTCGAGACTTCAGTTCAGGACAGGGCTGCGGGTCACACCATGCCACTGCAACCATGGTTCGGGTCCTAAATGAGTTCAAACAAATGGGTTCAATTGGATGCTACATGTATGACATTGCCTGATGCAAGCTGAAACCCGATTACTAGAACCTGTTTTGGGTCTAACATGCTTGCTGTGATGTTCGCTGAGAAAAGCTGGTTGCGTCAAGTGCGAAATTGGCTTCTAAGCAACTAAATGCCAACCCGACAGCAATTCACCTGCTGTGTCCATCGAACAGTGCGATTGCGCGTCGTATTGGCCCCTGAGAAAAATGCAAGCGCTTTAGTTTGGCTCCTCCAAACAAACTCTACCACAGTGTCTGGTCTCCTCACCATTTTGCCTCCTACCGGCCGGGAAATTCATGGGAATTTGTTTGACTTGCTCAACTTCCAAAAAAAAGATTGCAATGGGTATGTGTCAACATAGGGGGACCCCAAAATTAATGGTTTTCCTTTTAGTTCCCTTTAACACCACCCCAACTAGCTGGCATTGCACACCGACACCCTCCCCCGCGGTCAGATTCGCATCCCCATATGAGCCATATAAAGAACAAGGTCGCTCAGCCAGCTGCTTTAGCCGCATATATCCTCCATACTGGGTCTTAGGCATCCTTCCTTAGGTCCTTGAAACTCACAGAGGATCAGAAGCTGCAAAAACGCCAGCGACCTTCACAACTGTTTTGATTTCAGTCGCTAGATTGATCAAACACCTCCCCCAATTGCCTCACCGGCACCGGCTGCGACCTGCCCGCCGCCAGACTCAGAGCCATGAGGATGGCTGCATGCAAAAGAATCACAAATCCTCAGACTCTCTCTGACTGAGAGCGTTGACTACAATCCTAACATGTCGTTGGTTGATTACACGCAACATCCTAAAACTCACGTTTCTCTGATTGGTGCTTTGGATTTGTGGTGTAAAGTGAGTCTTTCTTTTGGGTGGTGTTAAGTCGGAAATATGGGGAGCGTTGACTAATTACAAACCAGCCATGATTCCATCAAATCGCTTCTGGTATCCACAAAATATCACTGATGTTTGTTGCTTAACACGCTTGCATAAAAACCTTGGGTGTTCCATTCCCCCCGGGTCAGCCCGCGGCACGCGCAGCAGCGCAAGCGCAACCACCAGCATCACCAGCATCATCAGAATGACATTCCTGGAAACATTGAGGGAAATGAAGGGACATGAAGGGGACATGACGGTGACACGGAGGGGACATGAAGAGGAAAATGAAGAAACAAAGGGGAAATGAAGGGCAGATGAAAGGGGCATCAATTGGACACTAAGGACATGAATAGGACCTTCTGGTCTTTCAGCTTTAGAGAAATGAAGAAGGGTAAGGAACAGGAATGAAGGAAAACAAAGAGCAATGACAGAAATGAAGGGGAAAGGGAAGGGACATGAAGGGGAAATGGATGGATATGAAGTGGAAATGAAGGGACATAGATTGGACATGAAGGGGACATGAAGGGGGAATGAAGGGGAAATGAAGGAACATGAAGGGGAAAAGGGACATGAAACTGACATGAACTGAAGCGGGAATGAAGGGAAATAAAGGGGACATCGAGGGGACATGAAAGTGATACGAAATGGACAAGAAGAAATGAAAAGGAAATAAATGGACATGAAGGGAAAGTGAAGAGTCAAATAAGAAAAATGAGTGCTTTTTTTCTGGAACTTTATTTTAGTAAAACACACGGGCGCACAGTGTTGGCGAATAAAGCTCTTCTTTTTTTCCGGAACTTTACTTTACTGAGACACATGGGCGCACAGTGTTGGCGAATAAAGGGACACGAAAAAAGGATTGGACATGACGGGTAATGAAGGGGAAATACGGGGAATTGAAGGGCACAAATGAACGGGAACTATAGGGAAATCAAGGGATGAGAACTGCGGGGAAATGAAGGGGACATAAAGGAATGGATGGAAACAAAGATGGGACATGAAGGGGAGAATGAAGGGAACTCAAGGGGACCATGAAGGAGAACATGAAGGAACCATGAAGGGGAAATGAAAGGGGAAATGAAGGGGGAATGCATGGTTATGAAGGGAAAATGAAGAGGAAATGAATGGATATGAAGGGGAAATGAAGGGGAAATGAATGGGAAATGAAGAGATGAAGGGGAAATGAAGGGGAATGAAGAGACGAGGGGGACATGAAGGGGATGCATACTATCACTGGTAAATATTACTTCAAAGAAAAAGTGGCGTCAGTCCACATTGTGTGTGCCTTTCGTTTCATCTGCCTTTACTCTGTCATACAGCATGTTTGAAACCGTGTTGATGACAATTCCACAGAAGAAAGCACGACCTCTTGTGACATGATGTTCTATGCCCTATTCTTCCAAATATTGCGGTATTGCTTTTGTACTTAATTCACCTTCATCATGGGGTAAGCAGCAATTCGCAATGACGCACTGTATTTGTACGACACGCATGAGAGAGCAGGCCTGTAGTGTCGGCGGTCTGAGCCGGAGGCGTTAAAGTCTCCTATCCCTACCTTAAGTACAAGGGTGTATTGAGCATGGCACATATATCCCCAGGACTTTTGCTGTCTAATCGATTCATGACACCGCCGAAACCTTCTGGCTTTACAAGACGAATGGAACCTTCTTGGGCCAAGTCGTAACCCCCTCGGCATAATTAGCCCAGGCAGAAGTGTTGCTGCGTCTTGCTTGGGCAACTGTACAAAAGTTCTCTTCAAACCAGCAGGCGTAGAAAGCTGGAGCTGGGTTGTCATCGCCGCTTCTTTGCGCCTCCTTGCCTCACGCACCAAGCCTCACACTTGTTTTTTTCCGCCCCGTGCATTTTGACTGCGGACCAGCTGTTTTGAACCAGCTCCTTCTAATTGAGTCCGACCCGACTTTAGGGCCCAACTACTAAGAAAACACTACGGATGTGACTGTTGTGGATCCACTCCTGTAGGATATTAAAAGAGTACTAAAAGATTACAAAACAACAACCAACAGCGGAAAGAACAGGTGACAGCAACAAAATTACAAAACAACAACCAACAGCGGAAAGAACAGGTGACAGCAACAAAATTGCATTTACACCGCTTTCTAGATACTCAGCTGAGCCAAACCTGGACACTCGGCGGGCCGGTTTGCTCCGCCACTTCTGCATCGGCCACTGGGGCACACCCACACTGCGAGAAGTAGGGCACCGGCCTCCCCGAATCAAATGCCAGGGTCCACACCCACACTGTGCATGACAAACTCCCCCCCCCATTCCCAGGGGTTTCATCCTGGTGCCATGGATGTTGCCCATTGTTTGAAGTGCTCCAGTGCTCCTGATTCTTTGTGAGGGCGGAACATGTGGGAAATCATTTCTGTGCAGTGTTGTTAGGGTACTCCTTGGAGTTGCTTTAAAGGGAAACCAACAGCAAAACCGCTATCTCTAGGGCGCCACCTAATTTTGGCACGTGGCCATTGTACCAATGTTCCAGGTCACCTCCCAAGCAAGTCAAGCAGCGAGGAAAAGCTGTCCCCAAAGGTATTGCTTCATGGGGCCTTTGGATGGGAAGCATCCTTTCCGTTGACAAAACAAAACCCTCGCTGTTGCTTTTGAAGCACTGATTGAAACCCAATGAAAGCAGATTCGGAGACAGGTGACTAAAGGAACCCTTTTCGGATGGGTATGACTCAAAATAGGGGAACCCCAAAAATGGCGGTGTTCCTTTTGGGTTCCTTTCAATTACCAAGGGGGCCCCCTCAAAAAAGACAAACCCGTTTTCCGCCTCAGCCAAACAATCAAATTGTGCTAACTCGGGCGCCTGCTATGGGGGTCTGGACAAATTAGCAACTACCCATCCGTTTTCGTTTGCCTTTCGGTAACTTGAACAAATAAGAAACACGGTAACTAGTGATCGCACCCAGGTCTACTTTTTGGCAGGCGTGACCATATGGTGAGCCGCTTCCTAAGAATTCGGAAGACCTACACTGTTTGAATGCTGGTTTACTCAGATGCCCAGTGGCCATGGGATAAAAGGGCATCCTTTTTTGGTTGGTTGAGTTTAAAGGGGAAGCCTTCCCCCCCCCAAAAAAAAAGAGGCGCCGCTAGGCAACAGAGGTTCCCGCGAAAGCACCGGACCGGGACTCCAAAGTAGTCTTCATGAACTCCTCGTGCCACTTCAAGGAGCCCCTCCCAGGAGTTCTGATCCGAGATCTCTCACAGCCGGCGCCCCTGGCTCAAATGCCCCAAGGAAACAGAAGGTGTTGGTGGGCGCCCCCTAAGATCGACAAACATGAACACTCATTTTGGGCCGAAAGACCAGCAGATCGCATCATGGTTGCTAAACCTCGCTTTTAAGATTTTGTCAGATTTGAGAGTTATAACGCGGGTTAAACCCAATGCATGGCTTAAGCACTCTTTGGTTCCCCTTTGAAGGTAACGGCCTGGTTGTTTGAAGAAACCACTTACCACCCATCTGGGACGGCTGGCCTTTGATTCTCTGGCTTACCAAAAAGAGAACATCCTTTGGCTTTTCCGGCCGCCTCTCGAAGTCCTTTTGATCCTTTGCTCGAAACGTTCAAATCAGCAAGCAGATCTGTACATCCTGCTTCTCTGCGGAAGTTCCAGCTCTTCGAGCAACAGTTCACAACCAGTTGAAGGGAATTTGTTTGGCCTCCAGAAGAAACCCGGGTGCCTTCTTCTTGTTTCTTCCTTCTCACGTGTTGCAGCCGGGCACCTTCGTCTTGTTCTAAGACTTGTTTTTCTTTGCTCTCCTTCAAAAGCGGAGTGAACTCCACCGGAGTTCGGGCTGCGACTCAAAGAGATTGCACGGCCATAGACCAGGTCCCAGGATGCCTCGCCAGCTCGCGCGGCACCAGTTTTGCCAGCTCGGCCTTCTTCTTCTCCGCGAAGGCTTCCAAAAGCCCGAGGACCTCCGCGAACGCAGGACAACTCTTGAAACCACGGGAAAGCAACAAAGGGGGACCCAGAATTGCATTTCACAGCAAAGAAGTTCTGCTGGTCGAAAGCGGAAATGACGGAAAACCGAGAGGCAAAAGGGTAAAAGCGCACCGTCAAAAGGGAAAACGACAAAAACATGACGTCTGCAAATGCCACCTGGTCAAACTTCGCCAAGGGTGGCGCCGATTCCCATCTCTTGCGTGACTTCTCCTTCTCACGAGCTGCCACGGCAGCATCCAAGGGGCTCTCAGCATCTGCATTTTGCTGCCACATGCAGGGTAAGCACCTGAAACAAACGCTGGCGATTATTCAACCCCGTCCCTTTAAACGGGGCCAGGGTCTGCTTGCGAAGTTTGCCCAACCTTCTACAAAACATCTGCCAATTTTGCCGATGCCGAGCTGGTGATCCATCTGCGATCCGTTGTGTAGCTAAATGGATACCCCCTGCTCCCCCTCTGAATCACCCAGCAAATCCGGGCCGAATTGGTGTGATCATCTGTTCATTTGCGATCCGTCCCCCAAACGCCCGCCAGGCAATTTTGCATCCCAGCCTTGGATCCTTCAGAAGGACTTGCACCAAATCTAGGCGCCCCGCCCTGCTCATCCGATGCAGCGCGGTGTCGTTTTTTGAGTCACAGGCCGTCACATCCAGGTCGCTTCGCGCCAGTAACATCTGCAGGATCTTAACCTGCCCCCAAACCCATCAACCTTGGGTTCTACCAGCTTGGTCATGAAGGTTAAAGCTTAGCTAGCTATAGGCTTTGCTTTAATCCCCCACTAAAGCTTGCCGGGTTTCAATCCGTTCATACCGGCGAGAAACCATAACTTATAATGCAGGCTTTCCTACAAGCTCATGTGGCCGTGACAGAAACGCCTGGCATGTAGGCCTTCCTATAAACCCGTGAACGCAAAGAGTAGAACTGCTCGCTTCCTGAGTGGAATTGCAAAACATAGTCTGAACTTTTTACTTACCACTAAAATTGTATTTCCAAAAAGCTCCGCGTCCTGTCGTTCAGCGATCTGGCGCCGCTTCACGGCTTCCTTTTCGCCGATCTCGATGGTCAAAGAATCCCAGCCCCCCACATTCCTTAGTCATTGGTTTCCAGCAGGAACTACCGGAAATTGGGCAAAGACCCACTGAAAACAAGGATTTCCTGTAGAATGTCCTGCTGGTTCTTAGAGCCCCTGTTGGGATATGTCATAAATCCCAAACTCCTCAAAGCGGAACCACTAAGAATACGGCAGGGAACCGCCGAGCTTCCAAACTTAGACCCTTTTAACGGAGCGCTGACAGGCGAGAAAACCGTTTCCCGCGCTAGAGAGAGGCATGGAAGGGGTTCTATGGTGTTTCGTCAGCACTAAGTCAGGCAATGACTCATCAAGGCCGTGGACCCGCCGTCTGCCCGCAGATTGATGTCGAGTTCCTCATGTTGCAGCAGCCACGTGACCACCTACGGAGTTGGGACTTGTTGCAACCAGCAGCTTTCTTTTTTGTGTGGGGTGGGGGAGGACTAGATGTTCAAAAACAGAAACCCTCGTCCACAAGATCACATGAAATCCGCAGGAATTTCTACAGGAAATGCCTCCAAAAAAAAGGGACTTCCTCTAGAACTTCCTGTAGCTGGTTTTGGAACAAAGAGGAAAAAGGGGCACCACCTGGAGGTCTGGGACATATTGAATTATTGATGATTTGTGACCAGGCTCGGGCCCAACTTCATGTTGAAACACCTCGTGCTTCAACCTGTTGGTTCCCAAGGACTTGCTCAGAACGAAGCAGCACTTCAAACGAATCACCGCTGAGCTCTTTGGGCTTTACATCGTCCCCGCATTTGGGTATGGGTCAAAATGAAACCACCAGCGGACCGCAGGTTTTGGTCCATGGTTTCACTTCCTAGGTTTCCATCTGGGGGTTACCAAAAAAAATGCCCCACCGCCATTTGCTTTCTGAGCGATTTGCGGGGAAAGGACAACGCGCTTGGCTCCATCCGCCGGCCTCTAGGCAGGCAGCATCGGTTCGCCGCACGGCGCAGTGCAGCAAGCCGCAGGGGTCGTTGATGCTCAGCCGGGGATGATGCAGCCTGACAGGTTGGAGCACGCGATCTGAGGATGGAAAATCATGAGTGTTAAAGAGTCCCTTTTCGGTCGCCAATTCAAACCAAACTCATCCACTAAAAGAAAACCAAACCAAGGGTCAATCCCTTTCGGTCACCAACAGGGAAATGCCCAGAAGGAAACCCCAATCAATTGAAAAACATCGGGGCGTCCGGAAAAACTCCTTTTGGGGAAAATTGCGCAAGGTTGTGGGCTATTCAGCAAATAGAAAAAGGGCAAAGGGCGTGACGTGGTTAGTTAAGCCAACAAGTTTGATGGTCAGGGAAAATGATTCGGACAACCAAAAGTGAAAAAGGGTGAACAAGGGCCATGTGGGTGTGTCGTTTTAGGGGGACCTTTTTGGTTGGTCTTAAAGGGAAACCAAACGGAAAGCCGAAGCCTTTTGGGGGGTCCAAATCACGAATTCCCAAAAAAACAACCGACTCAAATGGCTGTGGCACAAAAAATCGGTACCAAAATGGAACCCTGGTAAGTGGAAACATGGACCAAAACCTGCGTAACCCCTCCTGTTTAATTTTGAGCCACAGCCATACTTAAGTTCGGCCATGCCACAAGGTACGTAGCATCGAGGTGGGGGCGAAGCGTGCCGCGACTTTGATGGGTTCACCAGCATGAACCTGGGCTGGACATAGGATCCTAGCAGAAAACTATAGGTTTGGCTGGCTAGTGGAAAACAACAGGGGACCCCAAAACAGCAAAACAAAAACAATAAGGGGAGCTAAGTCTGGAGAAGGAACATCCAGATCTTTATGTGCCAAGATTTGAGATACCAGCTCCACATTCTCGCGATTGTGAAGCACCATGCTCGAGAAAATGCTATAGCGATTGATATCCCGTGCATTCCTCCAGTGTACATGGGAAAAAGGTTCAAACATAGGTGTCCTTTTGGGAAAACAGATGGCCCTTTAATGAAGCAGCCAGCGCCATCCATTTTCTACCAACCAAAAAGGACACCTATGATTTCAAAGGGAAACTTTCTCAAAGGAAAAGAGTTGCTTCCACTTGCTTTTCAGCCCCTTGGAGGAAAAAACATGTCCAGTAGTGATAGATTTCCTTTAAAACCAAAAAGAGAAAATACACCATATTCTTAAGCATTTAAATGGAAGGTTGGGTGGAATCCCCTCGCCAGGATTCACGTTGATCTCCGGATGGGCCAACAGGAGCTTCGCCACTTCAGGACTTTTGGTCCGGGCCAGCGGCACGTCGCAGCACACCTCGAAATGCACGTGATTCCTCGGTGGTGCATTGGTCTTTTGCTGTGGGCCATCCACTTCAAATGATGGCCCCCTCAAAAAGAAAAAACACCTAAGCTGTTTGATTGCCACTAAAATGGGCATCCCAAAAAGTATGTTATGAGGTTCAGGACTGGGATATAAACTTGAGAAATTAAGATAACCTTGTTAGACTTCCCTTTCCCTGATCCGAATTTCCTCTCAACTCTATGCGTGTCTTGTTTGAGGGGACCCCCTTTTTGTGGTTGTAAGGGGAAACCAAGAAACGAAAAGCGTTGTGCCATTTTGGGAAGGGACGAAAGCCAAAAAAAAGACACCCAAATCTAAGCCTAACCGTCTGACCGGCCAGATTCGGATCAGCGTTTTGCTCCAGTAGGGACCTCACCTTCTCCACATCATTGGCATGAGCAGCTGATGACAACCTGACAAAACCCGTGCCAGAAAACTCACCCTTTGCAACCCACCCAAAATGAACACAGAAAGAACAACCACATGTAAAGACAAGTGAATGAGCAGAACCAAAGAAATAAAGGCTGAAGACATGCCAAGCGACTGATCGCCCAAAGCCACCTTCGGGTCCTGTCTCTTCCTGGCGATCTCCCTGGCCCTAATCCGGGGGCCCATGCCAGCGCAAGACCTCTTCTCGTGCTCCTGGGGATCGCACTCCGGTGGGTCCGGTGACGACTTGTTGTAGCAGAGCGGGAATGAAGGAAAAACTCAACGGCACCCAAAAACCAACGGGTAAGGATAGCTCGAATAAAACAGCAGGTTGAGAGGCGAACATGAAGGAACACCTCCAACCGAAATGCCTAAACCAAAATGTAAGCCAGGTTTGTCCTAAAACAGGGGAACCCTGAAAATAGTTGGTTTCCCTTTAGCCTCCCTCAGCAAAAGCCAGAAGGGTACCCTCACACACCCACGTCATCGCCGCTCCGTGGGGACCAGGTGCCGGTAGCGGTCCAGTCCCCCTCCCGACCGGACGGCCGAGGCCGGCGCCGAGGCCGGCGCCGAGGTCTCCACCCCCATCTCGACGTCAAGGTCACCTTGCAGGGATTGGCGGTGTCTCCCATTCAAATCGAGAACTCCATGTTCAGTTGGCGCGAAGTGGTTTCTGTCCAAACAAAGAACTCTAAGCACGATACGTTTGT